AAAACGCAAAACAGGCTTGTTTAGATAAAAAACCTGATAAATCCGCCGCTTCAACCGGAATTTATGGACGACCTTCAATGCTGGTCAAAAGCGAAGCCAAAAGTACAAAACGACTATTGAGAAATTTACCAGAACACTCAAATTGTCCCAAAAAGGAGCGGAATTCAATCGTCGGAAAACAAAAATAGGTGTAAAAAGATTTTCACTAAGTAGGGAAAATGAAACATTGAACTTAAAATACAAGAGGACAAGAACATAAAAAAGCATATACAACAGGTAGCCCGAAAAACAGTCAGTCTCGATACTAAAGTTAAGGACAATAAAACTTTTGAAGAAAAGTACAAAACAAGCACACCGCACACAGCCTGGGTTCAAAGTAAGGGAAAACAGCCTCGCCTACTAAGAAATAGCGGTTTCGCATTTGTACCGAATCCAGAAAGATACGGCTCATGCAGACTATCTGGGCTAACTGACTATGTCACGTACAAATCGGCTAGGAGAACAGGACCATGCTTACGTTTTTTAGACATCGATTAACCAAACGCCCCACGACTTGAAATTTTCCGGGAGGACATAAAGACAGCCTTGCCCAAAAAATTGACTCCGTAAGAACAACAACAAAGGAAGCAGGACGAAGAAGCCAAAGAGACCATCGAGAAGAAGCGCAAGGCGAAGTCATAAACAAGAAAGAGGACAAGGGAAAAACCTAAAACCAGACCAGCCAGGGAAGGACGCTAAAATTCGGCCAACAAGGGCCCGACATTGAGGCTACGTTAAGCGACGGATGGTCATCCGCAGCTTCAGGGAACACGGCACCATCTCCCAAACGGCAAGATTTGAAGACAACATCGCCACCACAACATTTAGAATTTGAGGAAGCGACGAAAAAATCCGCGGTAAAAATAACTCACTCGAACCCCCGACCGACGCAGAGCCCGGAGAAGAAGATAGCGGACAAAATAAACGAGGAGATAAACACGACTGAGAAACACGAAAAATTTCTCGAGGAGGGAGACGAGCAAATAGCGCCGACAACAGCATCAAATTCAAAAACATTAACAGGGAAGGACAATACGATCATCACAACACAAGAAGCAGCAACAAAAGAAACAACTGAAGAGAAGGAACAGAAATGATAAAGCAAACAGTCTTGCGGGGACTAAAAAACTCAAAAGATTTGGTCCCACGGGACAATAAACTCACTTTATTCTTTCAAGGGGAATGTCATCCAGCCTGATTGGTATGAATCACTTTGAAGTATTTATTTTTATTTATAATATAAATCTAGAAATAAATATAACTATAAACTAGATTGATGGCCTGGACCGCCGATAGGCAAAATTTCAAAATCGACCGTCAATGTTCAGAAGAAATGAAATCAAAATTATGTTCAGTTCTTTCTCTTACCTAACACTGCTCTAGGTAATTAGCCAAAACGTTCGGATTCTATAAAGAGCTCATACATTACGGTATGACAATATCTTTCAGTTGTTTCTTCATCAGCGTGAGTTTATCAGATCACAAATCCGTTCGGATTCAGGACTATAGATCATCAGACTTTACCGCATGAGATGGCGCACGGCGAAGTCCAGCAGGATAGAAAAATCCATTGATTATTACCCCATTCGGGCATGGGGTAATTCGGGCATAGAAAAAACACCATTAGAGGAAACCATAATGGAAATGGCCATAATCGCGAAAAAAGGGTTGAAGTGAAAAAGTTATTACGATGCACTCTCAAATTCGTTGAACCAACTGGGCCACATACTAACTGAATAGCATCGGCAACGCAGAAAAGACCAAAGAACCCTTGAAAAGAAACAGAGACGGGAGAGTCCAGGAGGAGCGATTGCGTTGGTATTGAAAAGTCAGTCATCAGATCAAAAAAGAGTACTGCAAAACTTATTCAATTGGGGCGAAGCGGATGCTAAGTGCCGGAGTTACATATTTTTATGCCTCAGAGCAGAAGTTCAACGCCAATTAGAGAGCCTAGCTAGAACTACAATCAATTACAACGAAAGAACCCATGAAAACTCTAGAGAATCATCATAAGGGTAATTGCGTTCGAATGATGCAGCACATTGCCGTAAACAGGAGAAAGGGGAGTCCTTAGAACAATGTAATGCTGGCCTTGAAAAATTAGTGTCACGGGAAGACTGTGAGGGAGAACAGTTGTTCAGGGATGTGTTTATCGCCCTCATGAATCATGAAATTATTACCAAGGAGCTACTGTCAGAAATGCGGTCACTTTGCAAACATATGTTAGCAAAAATGTCAATTACTTGTTCGACCAAACTGAAAAATAACCAGATAAAAAAGTGCTCCAGAATTAGACAAAAACGACAATTACAATATGAGGAAATCTCATTCGTGAATGGATGGGAGGATACTACTTGAAAACTAATTGGTGGTGGCTATAGTAAAACCTTTTGATATAAAAATATCTGCGAAAACTCTGGAGATGACCTAAACTGTCTCATCGGAAAACAAAGGCGAGAACTGAACATGTTTTCCATATAGGTTTCGGGTAGTCCAATAAAGTTCTCTGACAAAAAAAAAACCTTTAAGAGCAATTGACAGCGCAGCGGTTTTTAAACTTATCACGCCAGAGTAGAGAGCAAGAAAAGTTGGCTTGATGCAAGAAAGGAATAATTCCTTCATAGGGAATGTTGATCCTAGCTATTGATGGATGGACAATTCAATAGGCACTTTTAATATATATTGACAAAGAGTGCTTAATTAAAGCAAAAAGTTTCAGATTTATCCCATCAAAAATTGATATGAAATTAATACAAGCAACCGAAAACGAAATCAAGAACTAAGAAATTGCAAAACTGTAAATTCTGACCTGGAGATCAAACAATGGGCCAGAAATTTTATTTAATGCGCTTAGGAATGGGAAAAAAAAACAAAAAAGCCCGTGACGAAAACACAACTTGTACCTTCAAGGACGCGTAATTAAACAATTAAACAAACTGATTGATGAAAATAACCGATCTGGACAATTGCTCAGATAAAAAACCATATTCTTAACTGCAATCGCTGTAAGAAAGGACCAAACAGTGAAACCATCACTGGACTTCAGTAAGATCAACTAGTTCACCCATAATAAAAAAAATACTAGATACCAAACATATCGAAGTGCTACACGATACAGTTGCCCAGAATGCTAAGGCAGAACAGCACAGAAAAATCTTTTTCTAAACATAGGACTTACACGGCACACACTCATAAATCCCTCTGGATCATAAAAAACGCTAGTGCAAGTTCGAGGCTACTGGCACGTTATCGTTTTTAACACGACTCTTTGGAGTTACTGATAAGTCAGAAGAATTTCATCAAACAAGAGATTCGATACTACTGAAATGTAGAATTACATATGCATATCTAGACTAAATTTTGATAGAAAGGAAGTGTTCAAAGGAATACATCACTGAGATGTACGTACAACGTGTACGTCCTTGAAGGACATGACTCCCAGACATGTTTGGACGCGGCTAATGACTGAAGTGCAAACGCCTACTCGGTTGTTAACAGAGGTTGGGTAATACGGTCTAGTACGCCATATCTGTAGAAAAACTACCTACATTAAAAACCAATAAGAGAAACCAATCGGAAACAGGAGCGACCAGCCCGAAACAATGTTTTGGTTGGGCAGCAACTGTGGAAGTTTGGACATTGGACTTGTACGACCCTTAAAGGAATTGTAAAAGTCGAGTTGGAAAAATTGATGCTTGAGCAGCATTTTGATGCCCTGGGCTTATGCGAGACCCGCTTGAATAGTGATGGAAACTCTGATCTTGGTAGCAACTACACTATTGTGTGATCGAGCGACCCCGAGAGAAAACGTAGATGCGGGGTTGCTCTCATTTTCAATTCGTTGTAAATGAAATTAACCAGTCATAGGTGCCAAAGTGACCGAGTTATGGTCGCCTGGTTAAAAAGTCGCATCAATAGTGAGACGTTTAAAATATTCGTTTGTTTCAGTCCCACTAACCCCAATGATGAGAATGGTGAAAAGCTAATTAGCTATCTTGTGACGTTGCGCGACCCAATTAGCTAGGTTGTGACTTTGCGCGACCCAAATTAGCTAAGTTGTGACTTTGCGCGACCCAAATTAGCTAAGTTGTGACTTTGCGCGACCCAAGGTAGCTAAGTTGTGACTTTGTGCGACCCAAATTAGACATGTTGCGACTTTGCGCGACTCAAGCATCTTGCGGGAAGATGGAGTTTCGGTCGCAACATGATTCGCAGACCTCGACCCGAGAATATTTCACCAGTGTTAGTAACACTCTTTTATGCGACGTTGAAAGATAACAGTCGATATTCTCTTTATTGATTTTTTCAGATAACCAAGTCCGTATTCAATTAAAAATGTTCTTTCAGATAGTTTTCTATTGAGTTCAAAGTTCTTACGTTCACAGTTCTTTTAAAACTACATCACAACTATGCCTCATAGCAACTAACTGTGATGTTTGTTCAGGCTGACAAACAAACTTGGTAGACTATCCTATGGAGTATTTCAGAACACACTGCTGATAGGAGGTCGCTTTTTCTAAGGTCATTGATACGTTGTGGTAGATTTTGCTCGTCTGGGATTATCTTTTACTCGAAGTCAAACGAACACCATAATCTAGTAGATTGGCTCTCAGGTGTTAACATCATTTAAACCACGGCGTGAATGCAGTCGGTTCCTTCCAGTTTGCTTGGGCTTTTTGAATGTTTTGCATTCTTGATCCATGTAATTTTGAACTTCCCACTTTGATAGATTATGCTAAAACCTTGTTTTGCAATCTACAGAATAAAAAAACTCTAGCGCCAATGCAACTCAGTACTGAAAATAATATATTTTGAAATCTTATTTGAGCCTGTCTGACTTTATGTTGCCTTTAAAAACTGAAAAATGACACTTCCAATCGAACCTCATTTGGCCGCAGTGTCCAGTCAAAGAAGATACATAAAACTAAAAACTAGCAATAAAATGCAGAGAGATTGTTGACCTTGTTGGGGACTGAAGAAGAAGAAGAAGAAGAAGAGACAGTGGGCTGTTTGTTGACAGTAGTGGGCAGGTGGCCATTGACTGAAACACATCAAGCGTTTGAAGAATGTTACAAGGCATCGTTTCTATCTCTATATATCTTTAGGCAAGACCTGCCTATAATCCGGTAAGCATAACAGCACTAATTGTATCTTTACGAAATCCTGAGTGTTTCAAACAAAGAAAAAAACAACGTTTTGTATATGTTTGTAAAAATTTTTCCTCACCACCAATGTAAGTCAAAAAATGAATTTTTTTTACCCTTTATTTCGATCAATTAGATCGGTTGATTTACTGAAACCAGTTTAAAACTAGTATTTATATCCAATTTTATTATTGATAAAACTATACCTGTTAAAAATTTCTAACTAACCAATCATGATCCATAACTAACACTTACATTAATTTGTAAAGCTGAAACTTTTCATAGTTTTAGTTTCAGAACAGAATACATTTAACTTAGTTTAAGTTTAAATTAAACAGTCGTTCTTCTCCAGAACAATTCCTGATATCTTATCTCGCAAATTTCAGTATACACTAGATCTATTGAGACTAGTAGATTTAAGAGTAACATTAAGATCGGTATTATATTAAGAAGTTGCACGAATCTATCCAGCCGAAAATAAGATAGAGTGAAGAACAGACGTTGTACCTTATCTGAAATTAATCTGAGAACGAGCCATACCGGGCATAAACTCATCTGGTGCGACCAAAAGTCTCGCATGAAGACCTCAACATAATTAGAATTACCAATTTCAAAATAGACAAAAGATCTAAGATCCAAACACAAAACACAAAACTGTTAAGAAGTATTGAAGCCTTACCTCCACGTCTCAATAATTCTAATTAATACCAACGAGTAATCAAGCTTACACCAGGTCAAAACCCGAATAATGAACCGTGCTTCTACGGCGTAAAACGAAAAAACAGACTGCAACGACTACTTCTCTTCAAGATTATCAATGCAGTACATTTTCATTCACTAAAATGAAATAAATTACTTGGAGCAGTAAGATTCAATTCCAAGCTATATACTTATGAATGATGTATAACCAATAAAATATGACATATTAACGACTGATAAAAAAATACGAATGTCGCTCATTTCCAACAAATCTGCAGTAGCTTTAAAACTTTTGTAAAATTAAATATAATTGAACAAAAACAAATTAGTTAGACAATTAATTTAAAAATCGCCAAATTTGAAAAAAAAATCCTTTGATTCTTTAGGACTCATATCTTCATTCTCTTTTGTTCCACTTTATTAACAGATCATCAAGGTTTTCCTTGGATTTTTAATTTACTTAAATTAAATTTTTTTTCACTTAAAATACCTGATCATCTAGGCCTCCCTTGGATCAATCAGAACAACTTTGTTCTTCTGTTATTCTGTTCTTCCCACATCAAAATTTGAAGTGTCTAAGGGCCTCAAACGTCGATTCAATCCCCAACCCTTATAAAAGACCCAGGATTAAAGGAAAATTTTGAAGAAAAAAAAAACAATTTTATTTAAGATAAACAGTGAAGAACTTCGGTTACTCGTCCTTCACTTGAGCCTTCGTCTTAGATGGCCCAGGCTAAAACCACATTTAACAATATTAACAAGTTCTAAAATAGTATCTAATGATATAGTTGTTTTCAAATTATACCTGAACCTTGTGGATTGATTTACTATTCTCCCACCTCTGATCACAAATCAATTCCCTAGGTAAGATTAAGTAAGTTCATCATCTATTAAAACCTGGTCGCGAGAAAGTAAAAAATCAATCTGACAAAATGATATACTTTCTCTCTCTCTCTCTCTCTCTCCAACCCGTCTATAATTGACAATCTATGCTCCATGTTTAAGATAACCTCACAAAAATTGTAGGGACTAACAGTTTAAGAAATATTAAACCTACCTCCTGGATTTTGCAACCATCACTTTAATAGTTATGTCAAGAGATTTTATAGAAAACAAACAAAAAATATTTCTCCACAGTTGTTTAATTTAGGGCAAAAGATACGATCTTGTTATTGCACGACACAAAGAAAAATTATGATACATCGGATAAAAAAAAAAAAAAAAAGTCAATAATGACCAAAACAAAAACAAATCAAAAATCAAAGTTTTTCCAGAACACGAAACGCAATTTCGGAATCCGACTAAACTCCAATACAAGAACTTCAAAATGTTGGAGATTTGAACTACGATGAAAACTAAATCAATTAACGACCAAAAATACTTTTCGAAATCAGAATCCACAACAGCATCACCTATAAAACATAAATGTGGAATAACAAATTCATACCTCCGCAAACCAGTAGGACTATATAAGTGGAATCAACGAATAGGGCATTTCGATCGAAAATTACGCATAAACCATAATTTCGATCGAAAAATGATTCTATACGATGAAAAATTTGACGATGCTTCTATTCCTCCCTTTGCCATTTATCCACAAATGATCCCGCTAGGAGATAAAAACCACTTTGCCTTAGAATAAATGCAAATTTTTTCAAAAAAAATAATCCATGAAAAATAACAATCCAAAAAAAAAATTTCCTGAAAAAAAATTAAACGACAAGTACTCGAACACTATTTACCAGGCGTCAATAAGATCACTTCATCTTTTGGCATCTTCACTAAAGACATTCTACCAACACAATCATCAAATCAACTACCCCACAAACACACAAACTGATAATTTCTCGAAAAAACTCTCAAAAGTTTTCACAGAAAATATTAAAAATTTTCAACATCAAACCTCACAAAAAAAGAGCAAACTCAACTTTCACAAATTATGTTTTTTCCATCATTTATAGCCATTTTTCTATTTTTCTCGACACGCAAAAGTAAGACGAGAAAAAAATCTTTTCTCGCAATTCTTAGAATCAATTCGTGAAACAGTCACTGACAACGAAATATTACAATGAAAAAAAACTGGTCTACAAAGAAACCTAGCATGGTTTGACTCAATTTAGACTTAATTTCAGAAGCAAGAAAAAGCTTTCGACCACAAACAAACAATGAAACAATATTACCAGACAAAATAATTTATATATGGGACCCTGAATGGTCTCATGTTATTTCTAACATCACAAACGACATTTCAAGTGTCACTATTTCCGTACACAGAGAAATTTCAGGAGTAACAACTGACACCACACCCTCAATTTAAAATGAAGTGTTTATTGATAGGACAAGCAATTTTAGTGTAAATTCATCATTTGTAAACAAACCTTTAACGGAATTAGAAATTTATTACAACAAGGTATTCAAAATCCATCACACTTTGTAAACAAAGAAATAGTTGAAAACTGCCTATAACAACACATCAAAATATCTACCCAATTCATCCTACACTTGCAACACCACGTAACAAAAAATACTCCTTCCCCACGAACAACATTAAAAGCATCAGTTAAACCATCTGTCTTTCCCAAATACTTGCATATGGATTACCAAACAATTAGACCAATAACCAAAAAACGACAATCTAGTGAACAAGAACAAGCAAACGGCAACAATTTTGAAAATTATAATTATGATTTTTTCACAAATGTTAAGTTTAGCAATCCAATAGCAAAACCCTTTTATCCAACATGGAATCAGTCTCAAGAAGATAAAAATACACAATAAAAACCAAAATCAGTATCTCAATCACAATTTTTTAATGATAAACGAAAAACTCCGACAGTCCGCTACAACTAAATACAATTAATAAAAACCCAACTAACAGGCAATTCACCAGAAGCTAACCACACTATTCTGAAGATGAGTATTTTTTCAATCAAAATCAACAACATTTCGAATAATATAGATCAACCTGATGATATTTTTCAACCGAAAATTTTTGAACATTTTATGAACCCTCCTTAACCACAGCAGCTATAACATTAGTTTTCTCAAACCCAAAATCAGGCACAGCCTGGTAATAATATGCAATCACAAATCATGCAAATTCTCAAAATTACCACCGCGAATCAATGAGAAACGAAATCCCATCACCTTTTACAGCAACATGAAAGTACAAAAACTCAACTTAGAAATTTTACACAATATAAACACAGCAGAATCACTCCAAAGGACAATGAATCCATACCTCAAGGGTGGATCATCTATAACATCTACTAAACCACTGACGGCATTCACAGGAACAGACGCCTAATACTCAGAAAAAGATTACATAAAAGCAGTTACAGCAAGTTTACTTTTAACCAAAGGTCCAGAATCAATACACATATCACTTTTTTAAAATTGGATACATAGACAACTAGTAAAATATACATCGACAACAAATAGGAAGCAAAGAACAACAACCCAAGGCAGACACTTTTATAAACCCAGTAATTATTCTCGCTAAAGAAAAATTACTTAAAATTGTTTTAAATGCACGATATTTAAACTCTTCAATTGATGAATCTAAATGCAATCGGCCCATAGAACCAATACAAGTAATACTTAGAAAAATAAAAGGACACTATTATACCACCGCCGACATGAATAGTGCATAAAAACAAATTCCATTGGATGAGCAATCATGTCGAGAAACACAATTCGTTATTGGAAATCAACAATAAGAATTTAATAGACTATTTATGGCATATCCATAGGACCGTCAGCTGGTTCTGCATTTATGATTAGAATTTTAAGAACACTAGTTCTCAGCAAAATTTCAATACCTATTTAGACCATGTTTTCAAACAATTACAAATAAAAAAAGAAAATCTTAAAAATTTGAACAAATACAATCAAGTCTTTCTAAACGAGAAAATGGACGAAGCTCCAGATAAATCATATTTTTTCCCTACTTGTGTAAAATTCTTTGGACAAAAGCTTAAATTTACTAAAATAACAGCTTTAAAATCCCAAAAAAGAGCAATTTTGAAACTCCAAACACCATCCAATAAAAGAGAAAATCCAAGAATGACTTGGAAGACTAAACTTCTTACGTATCTATGTTGCTAATGCAACTAAATCTCAGACCAAT